AGCACAATCACAGCTCACTGTAACCTCAAACTTCTGGGCTCAAGGAATCCTCCTGCCTCAGCCTCCCAAATAGCTAGTACTACAGGAGTAGTAGTCCAAGCCACCATACCCAGCTCATTTTTTTTTTAAATTTTTTGTGGAGACAAGGTCTCGCTACATTGCCCACAAGGGTCTCAAACTCCTGGCCTCAAGCAATCCTCCCATCTCAGCCTCCCAGAGTGCTAAGATTGCAGGTTGTGAGTCAGTGTGCCCAGCCCATTTGTATTTTTAGATACGTACTCTCCACTATTAGTGACCCTTACATTTCTACCAAAGTAAATAAATATGTCCTCATCTAACTTACACCCATGTATTTTTTCCTTCCTTACACAGGCAGATTCTTATTGAAGACTCTAGAAAAGTTACTTGTAGATGCCTAAACACACTAAGACTTAATTCATCACCACAATAAAGGTGAAATTTGCTTTATTTAAAATGAGTTGCTGGGCTGGGTGTGGCAGCTCATGCCTGCAAATCCTAGCACTTTGGGAGATGAGGCTCAAGGATTGCTTTATGTCAGAAGTTCAAAACCAGCCTAAGCAAGAGCGAGACTCCATCGCTACAAAAAATAGAAAAATTAGCCAGGCATAGTGGCATGTGCTTGTAGTCCAAGCTACTCCTGAAGCTGAGGCAGGAGGATTGCTTGAGCCCAGGAGTCTGAAGTTGCAGTGAGCTTTGATGATGCCACTGCACACTAGCCAGGGAGACAGAGCAAGATCCCATCTCAAAAAAAAAAAAAAGAGTTGCTAGGTTGCAGTCTCCACACCTTTGCTGAATGGATAAATGAGACTGCAACAAATGTTTCTTAGCATTTATGTACTGTGATTGCTCATTTGTACATAGCTCTAACAGGACTCAATATCCAATTTCTAAACAAGCAGTTCTAAAACTTTTTGATCTCAAGACCCCTTATCACTTTCAAGTTACTGAGGGCCTCAAAGAGGTTTTGTGTATGTCAATTGTATCTATCTATATTCATAGTAATAGAAATTATAACAAAGATTTTTTGAATATTCACTTATTCATTTAGAAATAATGTATCAATTACATGTTAACAAATTTTTTTCTACAAAAATATTTTCCAAATAAAATTGTGTGAGTGAGAAATGACTTGAAGGAAAATAGCTAGATTCTTCTATCTGCCTCTGCATTTGCTTTGTTTTGGCTGAAGCATATGAAGACGATCTGCTCTCCTAAAGTTAAGTAGTCGGGAAAGGAAATGACATTTAAGTGATAGCTTCATAAAAGTTAGCTGCAATGTAGAATATGAAGCCATGTATCAATGAATTTTTCATATTGTTAAAGTCCATTAATTTATCTTGCACTTTGAATAGGTTTTCCAACATTATGCATTGGCCACTGAAAATTAAAAGTTCAGTGTATTATGCAGATCTTTCAAATGTAAACACATCTCACTATAGAATATAAAACTGAATTTCTTAATATCAACACTGCATATATATTTTTAAAATATTCAGTTCATCAGAATGGGAAGAATGCATAAAGCATTTCTGCTACATATTTACAGTTATTCAAAGGAAAAGCGCTTGTGCATATGAGTTATGAGTTGAACCACTCACTTTTCTCACAGAACACAACTGTTACTTGAAAGAATGACAGATAAACTACGATTTTTCAGACTTGGGCATTTAGCCAACCTTGAGGACTCCCAGAAAGAACCTCTGGGGAGAACCAAGGAGTCCACAGACTATACTTTGAGACCCACCATTCTAACCAACAGAGCAAAAAATATTTCACAATTTCATGAATCACTACACCACCAGGAAAACACAAATGCTAATAAAAAATATCTAAATATTTCTGCTTAAATCCTAAAGACAGAAAACCAGCTCCCAATGTAAAATCTATTTAAAAACCTAACATTTGGCTCACATAAAGGATCTGACTCAAGAACTTAAAATTCTTTAATAAAGCACTTATTCAATCCCTACAACTTAAACACATTTGGGAATACAAATACATTAGGACCATTAAAAAAATCACACACACAAAAAAACCTCTTAGAGGCACATCAAATAATTAGACCATAAAATATAGAATGTTAACTGTGCAATAATAGCAAATGCTATTGCCAGGCATTGTGCTAAGCATTTTATATGGTTATTACATTTAATCCCTCAAAACAACACTATGAGGTAAGTACTACCAATTCCTATCTTACATTTAAGAAAACTAAAATACAAAAGTAGCTTGCCTAAGGTTAGAGGAAGAATGGATGGTAGAGTTGGGATTTAAAACCAGCACCCTTCACTAAACTACACTGCCTCCTCCAGCAAAGTCAAACATTTATCCTACGGAAATACTATAGATTAATTTCTGACTAAAGAGAATGTTTTGGGGGAAATAAACTATAAATATTTAAAAAAAAAAGAGACAAACTCACAGTTTTTAGTTCCATCAGGACTTGTTCATCCACTCCTTCATCCAGAAAGATGTCTCTCACATCATTAATAACATCTTCAATCACAGATCTGTATAATTTAGGCTTTAAAGGAAAAATAAAAGACTGCTGAAAAGGTAGTTTTTCACAGATTATAATGCATAACAGGTATTTACAAATTCAAAACAAATACATTTTTTCCAACTATCTAAAACTAATTTCAAAATATGTGACTTTAAAGATATGGCCATCCTAACAAACATCATTTGCCCTAACTGAATTTGCTGACTGCATATTTTAAGAGAAGTTTTAAAACTAATGCATTCATAAACAGAAGGTCCTTATACATACGAGGTCCATACAATTTCCAGTTATAATTTCCTATGTTGTAGTTAAAATACCTAATGTGATGTTCAATAATTGCTTTATTGGATGCTTATGTCTGGCTCCTATTATGCCATGCTTGGTTTGAACCCTGTTATATCTTATAACCTCACCACTAAATCTTAGACTTTGGAAAATTTTATGTCCAGCAGTCAATTGCCCAGTAATAATTTGCAATCTAATGAGTATTCAAATTTAAAAATCACCTAAGTTCTGTTTCTATGACCTAGTCTGTTTCTTCAAGCTATACCATTAAACTGCTCATACATACCCACAATAACTGGTTTCTGGGTCCCAGAGGAATAAGGTATACACATCTCTTCCCCATGATTTCTCTCCTCCTACTCCTACTCAGGTGATACTATGGAACATTATCATGAAAACCCCTGATGTTTATTTTATTGTTATTACTATTATTATTGTTGGTATTACTTGAAGAAGGAGGTGGGTTGGGGAGTGGAGGAACTGGCTTCTAGAAGGTTGCCAGAAGGATAAAATAAGCAAAATGAGAACATGTGTGAAGAATTTCAAAAGTATAAAGTATTTTCTAAAAGCCAAATTGTAGGAGATAAAACAGTAAGCCCAACCCACATCCTATTTCTAACCTGTTGAAGGAAGTTTGTCCAGTTAGATGTCAAAACTAGAGCTGCTTCATTATAAATCCTATCCATTATCACAGAGTTAAGATTAACAACCTTTTCTAAAAATGTTTTGTCATTATTCATGTTTTATACCTTGCTTAGGGTAAAAAGTTACTGGCTACCCAATAAAACCAAGAGTTTGCTCTCAAAAGCAACTTTAGACAGAAATAAATGTTTCATTACCATCTCTATCAGCAATAGTTATCACAGGGGAACCTCTAAGAAAACGTGCCCTTGCCTAAGAAATGGTCCTTTTGCGCAGTCAAAAATACAAATGAGTTTGCCAGTACAATTTACCTCAACCATTAAAAATGATCCATTCCCTTTTTATTACAACCAGAAAGACAACTCAAATATCTAGGTTCTTGTGCTTACTGTTCCTCACTAACCTGCTTTCCAATTTTGTCAAATTTTCCTCTGTGAACTTTAAATTATTCACCCGTAAAATGTGCATCTCTGCAGTGCTACCTTTAACATTCTAATTCTGTAGATAAGGATCTGACATGGGTATCAGCTTACCTAATGTGATTTAACTACTAAATTACAAAAATATATCTATAAAGTGCTTTTTACCAGTAACAATTCCTCAAGGCATTATAAAGAGGCAATGGATCTTACACTGGCAGTATAAATCCCAAACAACATAATTTTTTTCAGCAAACTAGATGTAGTTTTGGTATTTCTGAAGGCAGTGACCTCGAAACATCTTTTGCTTGGAGATCCCAATATTTATAGGTACAAAACTGCTTTCTTCTAATACTCTATTTTAATGAATCAATCTTGCTTAAAGATTTTGCCTTTGTGCCTTAATGAACCCGCAACTTAACCCACTTAATTGGAGTCACAAGCACTGTAGTGGAAAGAAAAAGGAAAATGTGTATTCTTCATGAAGTATATGCATAAAGAATAATTTAGCAGAATTGGTCAATTTGAAAGCACTCAAAATACTGATTTTCTAAAAGTATATGGCTACACAGGCACTATTTGTAATAGGCAATTTTTAAATTATTAATTAAAATTCTACACTTTACTTGAGCCAAAGTTTTTGTCTTTTACTAAATGCAAAGTAATTTAAGTTTGTCCTGATTTTTAAAAAATAGATATTCCAAACTTAAAAACTGGTAAATTAGAGGGCCACTAGTGGCATCATCAAGCCATTAGTTAGAAAATTCCTTTCAAAAGTGTTACTTCCTGGATGTAATGTTGGAAAATTGAATTTTTATATTTGATACCATGTTAATATCGAATGCAATAAAACTCTACTTAGAATTTTAATTTTTAAAAATCCAGCTTGCAATAAATCCCCTCACTCTAATTACCCACAGTTCCCCTAGACATAAATAAATATACCGGGAAAATAAAGTCCTATATTGGAGCATAAGGCACTTATCTATTTCTTTGAAATGCTTCATGTCTTTTATATTATAAGAAAACATAATGAAATATTAGGAGCTACATGTCTAGCATATTTTCTGAATACCTGATGAACAAAATGCTACCAAAACCAAGTTCCCTGCACCTAACACTTCAATGTAGAAAGCATTTTTTTAAATTCCCGGAAAAAATGCACACACCTTCCAATGCAAGAGAAACAATTACACCATCTGATCTAAAATTTTCTTTTAGACACAATAAATAAAAATTTTAAAAACAAAATAAAAAGAAGGGACAGCAATTCGGGTACTTTTCTCCTAACAAACATGGCAAATCCTAGAGGCTGTATCAAAACAAAAACTCGGGGCTCTGAAAGCAGCCCCCGTCGGGTGTGAAAGTACAGGGTTAAGAAAAAGACCTAGAAATAAACTGAGCTCTGCACGCGCCTGCCTCTCGCCTCGGGAGCACGCACCTCCCAGCCCCGCTCTCAGCAGCTCTCACTATTTAAAGCCGGATCTGGTGTTTAAATGGAGAGGCGGTGACGTAGGCCTGAAAAGCACCTTCCCATCCTGGCAGAGTCTATATTAGAGAGCGGCAATGGCTCTATATAAACAGGGCAGCCAAAGGGAGGAGGACCACAAGGCTCAGGGACTGAAAAGCAGGGTAAGCGGCCGCAGCCATGATGGATCGACCCGAGTCGCCAACGGTACGGTGTCGGGCGGCCGTGGGCTCGGATGCGGCATTGGGTCCGGACAAAAACGTGTTTTATTGTCATAATAAAAATAAGAGTTGGGTGGACTAGTGATCACATTGCATTGGTGATTGAAAAGGTTATTTATGTGACTGCTTTTTGCAAACCTACGTGATCGCAAGTAATCAAAAAGGGACAAACGGGAAGAAGTAGGCAAATTTCAAGGCGAAAGCAGGGGCACTTTGACCACTGTAGGCTTTTTTGGTTTGTTTTGGTGCTTTTGCTAGTCGAAGATACGATGGGGGTTTTGCTTCCCCTTCGCCATTTTACCCTTTCGGAAGGAACTGAGGTAAGTGCTTTTCAACCTTCGTCCTTTTTAAAAAAAAACATAAAATGGCCCCATTGAAGGTTCCCAAAGCACAACCGCCAGGAAAATCCCAAAGTAACCCCCAAAGTAACCATTGACCTTCCACCGCCTTAAAGTGGATTGTGGTGGGTCTTGGGGATTCGCCCAATTCCCCAGACACGGTTTTTGTTCTGAGGCTGCTCGGAGAGCCCTCGCCGAGTCAACGCCGACGGGGCCCTTCGGGGGAAGCGGCGGCTTCCCGCCCGCCCTCCCTCCCGCCGGGGTTTGGGGCCGGGGCCGCGCGCCCGCCTGGGCCCAACCGCCTCTGCGGCCCGGACCGTCCCGCGGCGGCCCCAGGCCCCGCCGGCGCCCCCGCCCTTCCCGCGGCCCGAGCCCTCGGCGCCCCCCCGCGCCCGCCGCCCGGCGCCCCGGCCCGGTCCGCCCAAGGCGGGAAGCGGCGGCCGCGCGGGCGGCAGAAGAGTGGAGGCCGAGAGTCGCCGCCGTCCCCGCCCCCGCCCGGTCCGGCCGTTGCTGCCGCCTGAACGAAGCCCCCGCCGGCCACCGAACCACGTCCTTACCACGGTGTTTGTATTTGCCGAGTTCGCCATTTCCACACACAACACAAACAAGAGGGGGCAACCCCGAGAAAAGATTAAAAACAAAACCAAAAAAAAAAAAAAACACCTGGAAGGTGACACAAGTCACCGCAAGATTGGGGGGGGAAATTAAACAAAATCGATCCTGAAGTAGGGAGAGCAGGGAGAGGAGGAGGGGGGCACTCCTCCCGCAGCTAAAAACCTCGAGAATCGCCTTAAAAAAAAAAAAAAAAAAAAAAAGCCACGACCCTTCAGGGGTCCGGGGGGCGTTGCCCGCTCCCCACCCCGCACCAAGGAGGGAAACCACCACCGGTCGCCGCTCCCCGCACCGCCGCTGCCGCCACCGGCTGCAGCTCCAGCCGTCCGGTCCGCCCGCTTCTTCCCTTTATATAGCGAGCCAACAAGCAGCGCGAGCCGCCGCCGCCGCCGCTGCCGCCGAGAGACAGGGCGGAGGGGGAGGGAGGGGCGGAAAGGGCGGGGGCAGAGGTGGGCGGGGCTGAGCGCGAGACACCGCGAGAGCCGCGTGCGCAGGCGCGCCGGGGCGGAGGCCGTCGCGAGCCGCGTCGTCACGCGCCGTGGAGGGTACTGGGCGGGCGGAGCCCAGCGATTAGAGTAGTGAAGGCGGGTCTCCGCCTCCCCAAGTCTCGCGTGACCACGTGGTTGGCAGGCAGGCGGAAGTCTCCGGCAGTTTTTGCAATGAGGAACCTTGCAAAGCATTAATGAAAAGGGCGCGAGTTCTAGTGTCACTCGAATCCAAAGCTAGCTGAGACCGCCGCCTGTCGTCTAGACGTTTCCGCGGTCCCGCCCTGGGGCAGTTAGGAAATGTGGGAGGGGCTGTAGCTACTGCCTCGCTAGGAATGGCCGCGGAGGGCCGGTCACGTGGCGCGGCTTCCGGCCCCAGGCGCGTTCATATTCAGGACAGTTTTAAATGCGGAGTCATCTCTCAGTTTGTGGGTTAGAGTGAGTTAGACTGAGACAGGTAGCTTCGCGGCGTTTGCGCTTCCCACGGAGGGTGGGCCTTTTAGCTCACAGGGTTGTGCTCTTGTTTCTAAAGGGGATAAAAGTTGCTTTGGGCCCAATATTTTCACAGTCCTGAATTAGTAACCCCTGAACAATTTGCCTCCACGCTGAGTCCGGCTATGAAGTCTCAGGCTTCAGTTCCCCAAAGGTTCAGCCTCCACTAGCCCACGTACTTAAAGTGACTTCTCACCGTGGTGGAAATGTCAAAAAGAAACTCCAACCCCAGAATTGTAACAGCACGGTAATCTTTCCTGGTTTCTAAAAATATTGCTAAAATACTGTGGCTCCATGGCCAGCATGTAGTGACAAATCACACTGAAATATATGGCCTTAACCCACGGATTCACATGCCTCTAGCTGCGAGAGAGCAAGAATATGTCCGTGTCTTGAAGTGCAATTCAATAGGCGTTTGACCTGCTCCGCCCAAGAAAATCCTGCCTTTGTATCAACACTGCACGCAGAACAGAGTGCTCTGTTTAGAAGACAGAAGGCGTAGTACCTAATTTTTTTCTTCCTAGGAATTTTGAGAGACTTGGAATGTAGTCTGAACGAGTGAGGGAGTTTGCCCTCAAAAGGCAAAGCAAAACAAAATGTTAAAGTTCTATGCGGTTGAAACCAGATTTGTAGAATGAATATCAAAAGCATCCTACCAAAGAAAGGAAAAGATGCAGCCTGCTAGGACCTGAAGGAAGGAATTAGAGCAGAGGCCCTTAATACTTTAAAAATGGTAGTGAATGGGTGTAGGGAATACCTCTTAACCTTGAGATTTCTTTTCACAACAACTCCATTCTCTATATTTAGTTGCTTAGCAATTCCCTGCACAGCTGCGTGGTCTGGAGCACTCTTAAAGAAATAAAAAAAAAAAAAAAATCACAGGATATCAGTGTTCTTTGTATTTTGTATAAAATTATGATTCCATCAACATTTGTAAATCATTTAATATTCAGGTGCCAATTAGCCCCCAAAGGTATCCTAAACAATACTACTGGTAAGTTTCATTGCATAATTAACTTTATGAAGACTTCTTGTTACCTCCTTATAGACATAGTCCCAACAATGTGCACATGGAATCCCTCACCTTCCACTTAGTTTTCTTCCCTACTACTTGATATTCTTAACTAAATGGTCAAGTGTTTTGCTATCAATTAAGGGTAAGACCGCTGCAGGCAGGACATGGAAGAAAATCTGTAACATGTGCTTTCCACAGAATAAACGCTGTCTTAAGGGGATTGATGAGATGTATGTCTGATGGGTCTGACTTGTGAGATAATGGAATACAGTCATTGGATAAAAGGCGGAAAACTCAGTCCTGGCCTCCTTAAGACCTTCAGACGACCTGGGGGCTCTGAGTTGGCCTCTCTCTATACCTTCTAGATTGCAACAATGCACATTGATTAACATTTACCCAGGTCCCTTCACAGGCATTGAAGTAGCCATCATGGATTCCATTCAAATATATTGGTTTTCCAATTCGTCTTTTAGCTGTTATATGCCTTCAATTGCAATATATATGTGTGGCAGCCAGTTTAGTTTTAGAAAGAATTTTCTGATCTTCACCAAAATTGTGAGACTGAATATTTGGAAGCTACAGCTCTTTAATTCACAAAACTGAAAATGTGTGAGCGGAAAATTTCTCCCCTGTAAGACTAGATTTAGCATCATATAAATTTTTATCTCAACTTTTCATTCTTTGTGCCCTAAAGCTTGAATAACAGCTTTGTGCCATAAGAAACATTTATGCTTGATTTCTGATTTGTGAACTCGTACTTCGTAACAGCCATGTACTTAGACAAATTGATACATAATAGTGCTCTCTTTTTTTTGTGATGAATATTTGTCTATTTTCACTTCACAATGTTTTATATTAGAGGATAAAAATTGCTTTCTTTTAATATGAATATGCAGCTTAAACACTGAACTACAAAACAAGAAAAGGAAAAATCAATGAGTAAACTTTGATATACCATAGACAAAATTACACCAAGCCTTGTATGTCTCAACAATAAAATGTTTAACTGTCCAAATGACTATTTTAGCAACAATACCAAGAAAGAAGAAAGTCTAAAAATACTGATCACAGAAACTGATTTAAGCTAAAATCTCATAACTTCCCTTCAGCCTCCATTTTCTTAAATAGGAAAGGAAGGAAGAAAGGGAGGAAAGAAAGAAAAAGAAACATAGAAAGCTAGTTGTGAGGCATATTTAGGTATCACACAGTGCTTATATGCTCAGTAGTACTGGGCAGTTTTGGAGGATACAAAAGTGAAGAGGAGGCCGGGCGCAGTGGCTCACGCCTGTAATCCTAGCACTCTGGGAGGCCGAGGCGAGAGGATCACTCAAGGTCAGGAGTTCCAGACCAGCCTGAGCAAGAGCGAGACCCTGTCTCTACTAAAAAATAGAAAGAAATGATCTGGACAACCGAAAATATATATATATAGAAAAACTTAGCCGGGCATGGTGGCACATGCCTGTAGTCCCAGCTACTCAGGAGGCTGAGGCAGAAGAATCGCTTGAGCCCAGGAGTTTGAGGTTGCTGTGAGCTAGGCTGACGCCACGCCACTCACTCCAGCCCGGGCAACAAAGCGAGACTCTGTCTCAAAAAAAAAAAAGTGAAGCGGAAAGATCTTATACCTCAAGCTTACTAATTCTAATGAAAGTTCCCCTTGTAAAGTGTAATAATGCATAATCACAGCATTCATTTAAGTTATTGAAAACACATGTATTTCAGTCCCAGCCTCCCCCCCAATTATATATTCAGATGTCACCCATTTTGTAGGCCTTCACAAAATAATGGCCAATTTCCACATGCGCTAATTTTTGGTGTGTTGGCTATAAGAAGGAATTGCTAACCATACAAATTACTTCTATACATGTGAGGAGGAGATTTTAAAAATCTTTTTTTGGTGTTCTCTTCCTTTCTTCTAACTTAGAGTTTGAAATTGCTACTTCATGTCTTAAAACAGCAACTAACTTGTAATAATTGTCTGTGTACCAAAATATAAGCCAGTTTATGGTGGCTTAGCAAACATAAATTAATTTAGTGAGTTAACTTAATATGGAGTTTTGGTAGAATAAGGCTTGACTGCCACTAATCTACTGCGTGACCTTCTGCCATAACTAATTCTATGTCAATAAGTGAAATAATCACCACTACCTATGGTTATGGGGAAGATCAAAGGTACTAGAAAGTGCTTTGACAGGTATTTGGTGGATGTTTCTATTATTAATATTAATGATAACTGTATAACAGCCACATCAATATCATCAAAGCAGGGGAAAGGTGTTTTTAATTCACTTTGTAGAACACTACCATTAGATTTTAATAATGATACTAATGGTCAGCGATTAATTTATCCACAAGATGTTTAGCCAAATTTTGATATCTCAAGTAGTGAGTACACAGTATAATTTTTGTATGTAAATATAATGTTAA